TCAGAAATCCCTGAAAATAATATGACCAAGTTGTGGCGAAGCTCATCAACTATTAGCAGTTAAATAAAAATATTGCTGCTTTGGTCAACTCAATTGCACACCCACGTCAACATTTATTACTATAGTATTAAATTATTTGCCTAATCTGGTAATATAACTATGGAAAATACAAAAAATAATGAGATAAATGGAAAAAAAAAAAATGGTCGGCAGATGACGTCTAAAAGAAAATAAATCCAAAAAAGTCAACTTTATTGACTATCGGGATGTAAATATAAAAAAAATAATATTATAAGTTGTAACGTATTATGGTGAGAAATAAGAATATTTTTATTAAATGTTTTGCTAGCAATTATATATATATAAATAATAATATAAGTTGTAACGTATTATAGTGAGAAATAAAAATATTTTTATTAATTTTTTTGCTAGCAGTTATATATATATATATATAGATATAATCGCAAATTGGAATTATTGAGTGCATTTATAGAGGTTTGATGATTTCAAACCCCAAAATTCTGAATCCATGCCAGATAGCATTGCTTTCAATATCATAATGTCTCACAAGTCAAACCCATTGCATTCAATACAAACTTAATAAATACATTACATTATCTTTTACAAGGCAAGTTTTTTTTTTCTTTTTTTATTGCAATTTCTGCATATAATTACTTAATAATATATAGTAGTAAAATACACCTCTCATGAGGCCCACCCACTACTTGTAAAAATTCAACATAAACCCACATCAATCAACAAACTCAAAAAGGCATAGCAAGAGACAAAAATAAAATTCATATTGATCAACACTCATCATTATCATAAGATCAAAAAAGAAAATGTCGGGTTCGGAGGGGAGATCGGCGGTGACGTCAGAGAATCGGTCTCCGACGCCACTGCTATACCGGCGGCATTCAAACGGAGCAAATGAGATGAGAAACCTGGCGTCGATATCGAGCAGTTTGTTGCCTGCTTTTGGTACAGTTGTGGGGGAACAAAGCACTCTCAATCTCAATAGATTTGTTATTGCTCCTTATGACAGAAGATATAGGTAACTCATTCATCTCTCTCTCTCTCTATATATATATATATATACCTGTCTTTGCCAAACACACACACACACACACACACACACTTACATGTGTTGCTGTAGTATATGCATATACATATATAGCTCATCTTGAGAGAGAGAGAGATTAAAGCCTTACCAAAATAGTCATGTTTCTCTCTCTCTCTCTCTCTCTCTCTCTCTCTCTCTCTCTCTCCCTCTCTCTCTCTATCTCTCTCTCTCTCTCTCATTAACTGTTTCTAGCGTGTTGGACAAACCTATGCAAGATTTGGTGACTAATTTTTTTTTTTCCTCTCAATTTGCACTAGTACAATATCCGGATCTTACACGATGCTTGTTAAGAAATTTTTATTTGAAATAATTAAAAAAAAAATTAATTATCTATACTTAAAATGATACCGTCACTTATATGATTTACCATCTTATATTATAGTAATTTTTTTAACTTATATGATATGTAATTACTTACTTTGTAATTTAATTAAATTAAATAATTTCATTTTTTTCAATTAATATTAATGGGTAATATATGTGTTATTGTAAAGATAAATATAATTATTTACTTATTTTGAATGTATAATATTAGATGTCATATCGAAATTCATCTGATTAATTTGATATATTATATACAAAAACTTGATAATAAATGGAAAATTCATTTAACTTTTAAATATATATAATTGAAGTTAATAATTTTTTAAAAAAATGAGGAAAAAAGAAAGATTGGAGAAAAAAATTATGCTTTATAAATAAGGTCTATAATAGGTAATGATATAAAACATAATTAATGCTTTTAAAATTGATCATAAATATTCAGTATATTTATAAATATTTCAAACACAGTTGTTTTTAGATTGGAAAAATTAAAATCCATAAAAGACAAATGACAAATCATAAAAGTTCGCCACATAAGATCCGAAGCATTTTAGCAACCATATAGCCCAGCAAATCTGAAGATTATATATAAGGGATTACAGGTTATTATATTGATTCAGTTTATTTTGTTTAATGATTTTACCCAATTTTGCATATAAAAGTTTGCAATGTATCATTGCAAACTTATCTTATTATGATTTATTTTATGTATAATGAATAACTGCACCGTTTTTGGACAAACCTTTGCTAGATATGGTGGCTGATTTGATTTTTTCTCTCTCTTAATTTTGGATTATAAGTTATGTATTCTGATTTTTTTTTTTTAATGGAGTAAATGGTAAATCTCAATTTTGCATTTTAAGTTATGTATTCTGAGTCACGTTTTTTTTTACCC